AAAAAATCAATTAAAGTATTGTTAGAAAAATCTACTCAATTGAGTTTATTATAAAATTTGATTATAATATAAAAATTTATTGTTAAATTTAGGTGAAACTAAAAATCATTTTTTTTTTTTTGATTTATGATTTATATAGCAACATAATACCAAAAAATTTGGAATATTATAGACTGTTAGTATCACACACAAACATAGTTAAAAAATTAATAAATTACAAAGTAAAATTATTTACTTTTACAGTTGATTATTTTTATTATATCAAATATAATTCGACAATAAATATTTTAAAAATATTAAAAATTAATCATTTTAATTTTTTGTATGGATAAAGCTGTTTAAGGTACTTTTTATTTGATTAAGGAATTTTTTTTCAATTTTTGAGGGTAATTACTTTAACTAAATACGAATTGTAATCATTTGACATATCGTTGAAAAAAATAGGTTAATTGAGGGTTGAAACAATAAATTGCAGCCACAAAAAAAAACACATAGTAAAATAATATAAACATGAATAAGAAAATTCTTTTTGACGTATCGTTGAAAGAAATCCGTTCAGTGAGAGCTGAGAAAAAGTGGTAACAGACACAAAAAAAAAAAAAAAAAAAAAAAAAAAAAAAACACACATCATAGTAAAATTAATACCTTCTCCGCTTCGCATCGAAGCTAAAATGTTTGGATTTTTAATTCAATAGTAAATGGTATTTGAATTTTTAGTATAGCTTCATTGGTTTATTAGATATAAACATTCAAAGTTTCAAATTTTTGAGTTAATATATATATATAATACACAAGGATAATAAATACATATAGCTATTTGGCTTTTTACGGTCAGGTCTTTTCGGCGAAATATCGAGACCATCAGATGGGTCACTTCGGAGACCGGTATCGTTTTTTTTTTTTTTATAATTATATTTATGTGATGAGCTGTATTTTATTAATTATTTTATTTTATTTTAATTTTATTATAAATTAACTTAATTTTGTTTATGTGTTGAGCACGTGTTCCTTTTTCTTCTAGTCAACACTAAGGAGCAAGTGTCTCCAGATCCAGAAAAAAGGAGACAGATGACACAAGATGTCAGTTATTCCAAAGCCAAAATCACACAGAAAAAATTTCTACCAAAAAACTAGCTTATAGGCTTAAGGACATATCTTCATCTTTATCAAACTCAAATAAAATAAAATCAGATCAGTCAATAAATGTCATGAATGAAGTTAACAAAAACCAAAAAAATGAGTACGTACAATAGGACAAGTCAATATTATAGCGAAAAAACATTGTACGCCATTGCTACTGTTGTGACCGGGTTGGTACGGTAGACAAATGAAGAGAGAATGCGTTTGATAATTAGTTTATTATATTTAAAAAAAATATGTTTACACTTATTATTAACTTCTCGATTTTAATTAGTTGATAATTAATATAAAAGATTCAGTGAACAAGTTAACATAAAAGATTCAGTGAGCAAATTAACATAAAAGATTCAGTGAGCAAATTAACAAAAGATTCAGTGGAGAGTCGTCCAGGTTCGACCCATGAACTCTATGACTCTTGAACGAGTACCTGACTCCTACTGGCGCGTCGCCTCAGGCGGCGGCGGCCGTAGGCCCAATGCATTGAAAAAGGCTGAGCAAGCATCGAATGTTCTAGAAGGACTAGATGCTTGCCTGGTAAATACTTTATACAAAACAAAAGAGGCTTCCGTTCCCATGATTATTATATATATACTATTAAATTACATAATTACAATTAGGCAGCAAAAAGCCAGTTCACAACATACCCCCGGAGTGAAACTGAGCAGTCCCTGCGACTAAATCTAACTTAAACTAGTTTTGTACAATATCTTAACTTACGGGTGCGCTAGTTACAATACCGCCACATGCGCTTTGATGATAGTATCTTAGTTCTAAACTTACGTCTACGGGATACAGAAGTTTGATACAGTAATGATTGAGTAATACTAATTTTTCCAAAACAATTTAACCATTCATATAAATTCTCTTAAAAATAATTACATGACAAATATTAACCTAACAAATGGTGACCACTATAAGGGTAGCTGTTACTGATGCTAGGATAAGGATAATAGGAGAAGAAAGTTTCTTAAGGTTGTAATACTTAGGTTGCTGTAACCGATTAGTATACACGTAGCCACATGTTAAAAAGGTCTGGGGTTATCCAAAAATACTTTTAGTAACCTTGAAAACATGGATAAGGTAATGACAACAAATTAAATTATTTATATAAAGTCAGTTTTCTGAAAGATGAAGGACAAAGACAAAAATGAAAAAAAGAAATATATCTTCCTCCAGAAATGATTGAAAAAACAGGTGTGTCATCCAGTGAATTGTGGATTAATCTTGAAAACTTAACGATCAGTATAGCGAGAGGCTTATGATTTTATTCGTGCGGAACTGTTTCCAAATAAATCGTATTGATCCAATCATGTATAAGATAGAAATATTAAATCACATAGTAACGAAATAGCAAGTGAAAAAGTGAACGAATTAGTAAATCGTATATTGAATGAAATAGTAAATGAGTTAGTAAACGAAGTATTAAACATATAATTAAATNCAAAGTATTAAACAGATTAATACAAGAGATAGTAAATGATTTAGGAAATGAAGTAGTAAACGAATTAATGAATGAAATAGTCATCTTAGAAAAATGGAAAAGGCTCTACAGTGACGATACACATCACGTTTAATCGACACTGTAGTTCCTTCCCGTCACCTTTAGTCGCTTTATACGACAGGCAGGACGCACCGATGGCCTATTCTATACCCCGACCAACAGGGGGTTGGTAAAAAAATGGGAAGAACGATTCCAGATAAATCGAAAAGTTTAGGAGATAAAAATCCCTCCCCATCACCTTTAGTCGCCTTATACGACAGGCAGGACGCACCGATGGCCTATTCTATACCCCGACCAACAGGGGGTTGGTAAAAAGATGGTTTAATTCACAAATTTCTTCAACAGGTTCTTGTGAACCCTAACACTACGTCGTCCTTTTTGAATCGTTACGTTCTCATTTTCGTGGGCTTCGATCACAACGAATGGGCCCTGACATTTAGCACTGAATTTTCCCTTTCGGGCATGGTCCTTAAGTAAGACCTGATCGCCCACATGCACATCTACGGGGTGAATGGTTTGATCATACGTAACCTTGGTTTTGTGCTTCTGTTTTAAGAGCTTTTCACGTGCTATGCTTTGGCTCAGTTGGAGTTTTTGTTTTAGTTCGGCATGAAAATCATCATAGTTGTACCGGGGTTCCACTGCTCTGCTGAGAGACGTAGGGACGACTAAAGTACGCCCATATAGCAATTCGTATGGTTGTTTCTTAGTAGATTGATGGACCGAAGAATTGTATGTAAACATAGCGTAGGGTACATACTGGTCCCAATTACGCTGGTCCTTGTCGACATAGTGGCGTAAATATTCGCCCAGGGTACGATGACTTCTTTCTAGAGCACCGTTAGCTTGAGGGTGGTATGGAGAAATATTACACTTTTGAATTTTAAGTAGCTTGANCACTGCTCTGCTGAGAGACGTAGGGACGACTAAAGTACGCCCATATAGCAATTCGTATGGTTGTTTCTTAGTAGATTGATGGATCGAAGAATTGTATGTAAACATAGCGTAGGGTACATACTGGTCCCAATTACGCTGGTCCTTTTCGACATAGTGGCGTAAATATTCGCCCAGGGTACGATGACTTCTTTCTAGAGCACCTTTAGCTTAAGGGTGGTATGGAGAAGTATTACAC